AAGTCTTGGAGTGCAATTCGCCAGAAGCACAAAGAGAGATGTCAGCCTACGATCATCTAAATTCGCTCAATGTACCAGATCATGCTGGTGCCAAGCTTATCCGAAAAGCATTGGATAGCTTCCAGATCGCATCCGAGAAAGGCACGTTCGGATGTCTCGTCCATCCACCCCTTGGAATGAGTTTGCACGAATTCCGCACCCAACTCAGGGCCAGAGTACTTCCAGAGAATATAGTCAAGCTGACCCTAATGCATCTTCTTCTTGCTCTGGATTATCTCCATATGGAGGCCGGAATTGTCCATACAGGTTCGACATCCCTCCCAGATTGCTGAAGAAGTTCCCCTACTAAGCTGGTCTCTAGATATACAAGAAAAGAATATCATGATGGGAATTGAAGATCCTTCTATTTTATCTCACTTCGAAGAAGAGGAGAAGTGCAGTCCCAGCCCTCGCAAAATTGCTGGCGATCGGGAGATCTACACATCCCGGAAACTCAGAAAAACCAAGCAGCATGGTCGTCCAACGCTATGCGATTTTGGCCAGGCTCGCTTTGGATCGAGCTCCTACTCTGGGGATATTCAGCCATATATATACCGGGCATCTGAGGTAATATTGCGAATGCCTTGGAATGAGAAGGTGGATATTTGGAATGTTGGAGTATTGGTAGGTATCTGTCCCTTGTGAATATCAGACCTTCTACTAATCCGAAATGACAACAGACTTGGGATATTTTCCAACAAGGACATCTATTCTACGGCCGAGATCCTAACAAAAGCCCTTCTGATGCTCATCATCTCGCTGAAATGGTTGCTATTCTGGGACTACCACCGAAGGATATGATGCAGAACAGCGAATATGCAACCACATTCTTCGACGCCCAGGGTATGTATCTATTCTGACTAGCAGAACACATTACTGATTATGAAACAGGAAATTGGAAGGGAGCTGTTGACATCCCTGCTATCTCGCTAGAGAAGCTTGAAGGAAATCTACAAGGTGAATCGCAGCAACTCTTTCTCCGATTCCTTCGAAAAACCCTTAGATGGAATCCCGATGAGCGGCAATCAGCAAGGGAACTTTTGGAAGATCCCTGGCTACGGTCATCATAACTGTTTGATGTAATCTAGTCATGGTCATAGTGTAGTAATAAACCTATACCCCTAACCATACACACACTGTCATCGCACATATATCAAATACATAATAGTATCTCAACCAACTAGTCAATATTCTTGCCACCAAACATATACAAAAGACTCTTCAGCAAAGTTAACGTCTCACTTATAAATTCCTCACTCGTTGCTGCCGCGAAACGCTTACGATCAAAGGTACCCAATTCGACCCTGTGACCCTGCGAGGTGATAGAGCGGACCCCATTATCTGTTGAAATGGCTAGAAACCCTGGATCCTGCTCACTCGAAGAAGTTATGACGCAGGAGAATACCTCGTGATTGCCAAAGCCTCCCCGAAATTCGCGATTGTGTCTTCCATATGTTAATAAGTATATCAAGGATATCTAAAGGGGGATAGGCTTGCAACTTAACCTCCCATTTTTCAATGAATCTATCTGTACTGCGTATGCATTATTTTCAAAAATAGAGAATTACTGGTGGAGTAAGGATACAAAGAACTCAGGAAATTATTTGGTTCAAAATGCTAACGAAAGGTCAGCAATGGCTAGCTTGATATCTTCCGAAGGATAATAGAATGATTTAACAGTAAAACTGACCGTCAACAGTTCTCTTTTATCTCTCGGGATAACGGCCAATTATCTGCGGAATGGAATAAGCAAACTGGGAAATCGAATATTGAGAATTACAAATCCACCACAAGAAAGCTGAATGGGAAGTTGGCAGCCCGTTGAAGTGTGCATCACTCCCTTTGATCTCTGCACGCGGGAAACTAATTGACGAAATACCAATCATCATAATTGCTGGCTGTGAGTGGCTTACCTGCTCAGTTATGTTGCATGAAAGATGATGATCAGCTAGTAGGCTGCGCTGAAATTGACTAAGCGCTTCAACACCGGGTAGTTAGCACATCCGTGATACAAATGGTTTGCAGAGAATGCATGCACTATATGGAATTTGGCAATATGTAGCGAGCTGAATTAGTTGCAAAAAGCCGTCAGCTGAACGGCTGATAGCTTAGTGCTTACCGTCTCTTTAATGCACTTCGGACGGCGACCACTCAGAGAGACTTTCTCGTTGGATCGACGGCTCCTTAGTAACGTCATGCAGTAGACTACTTAGTTAACGAACTAGATATGCCCCAAGGTCATTAGCTGCTGTAGACCGCTTTGCATCTTGCCAATAAGAGCTAACAATTAGTTGTTACACAATGGGAAACCCCCTCAATAAGTTCAATGATCAACAAGTGGAAATATAAGTAAGGGCGATGGTCTCCTCCAGTTCGAGTGGGCTTAGTACCTAGTACTCCAAGAGCGAACTCACCTACATTTTTCTCACCATGAAAAGCGTAGCCATCATCGGAGCTGGCCCTTGTGGCCTAGTAGCTCTGAAAGAAATGCTGCAAGCAGGGCTCGATGCAACTATTTATGAACGTTCCGATCGGCTGGGTGGTCTGTTCGCCACAGCAATGGCTTATCCGAACCTTCATCTCACAATCTCCAACTGGGCGATGGCTTTCTCGGACTTCCCTGATCCGTCTCGCATGCGGTACTCCACGGCTGGAGACTATTTGCTATATCTACAGGACTATGCTCGCCATTTCGATCTTGAACGTCATATCAAGTATCGCTCGGAAATTTGTAAGGCCACTCGCGGAGATGATGGACAGTGGAGTTTGTGGTTCAAGCAGACGAGAGAAGATGGGAATCATGAGTCCATGCTCCACGTACAGGCGGATGCCCTTATTGTTGCGACAGGGAATAGCCAAGTTCCGAACGATGTGCCCTCACAGCTGGCAGGATTCGAGGGCAGGATTGTCCATTCCAGCGCGTACGATGAATCTTTCATGCAGGAAGTTGCGGACAAGAAGCTTAGGGTTTTGATCGTGGGAGGCGGCGAGAGCGGTGCCGATATCTCGGCAGACCTATGTGAACAGTCGCCTAATTTGACGGTGTGGTTGCGACGTCCACCCTGTGTGGGCATACGCTACCTTAACAGGCTTGATGAGACACAACAAATGAAAGCCAACCAAACCGTGGACTTTCCCGTTAGCATCTTCCTCGAATCCATCACTACGAATCGCTTAGGTGCAGCACAAAACGTCTATCTTTATACCTTGTACCGTCGTGCTGTTTTCTACAATGGCCTAATCCTATCCACAAGAGAGCGCTGGTTTCTAGAAAGGTTGGCCCCGGTCTTCTTCCGCAGTGACCAATCCACGGTAATAACCAAAAGTTCGCGGTTGTGTCAGGCCTTAGACAGCGAGAAGTTAGAGGCCATAATAACCCCATATGTCTCTGCTTGTGGGCAGACTTGTGAATTCAGCCTGCCAGATGGGACCAAGCAACGGCGCGAATTTGATGTCATCTTGCTCTGCAATGGCTTCCGAACTGAATTCCCTTGGCTTCAGCTTCCTGATCGTATTCCTTTCTCGGCTAACCCACGATCCTGGTTTCTGCATTGCTTCCCCGAGGGACTGGGCGACTGTCTCTTCTTCTTGGGCTACGCACGGCCTGGCCAGGGAGGCATTCCTCCTGCGGCCGAGATGCTGAGTCGATATATCGCATTGTTGCTGCGTGGTGAAAGAGAGCTTCCCGCTAATTATGCAGACCAAGCACGAAGAGATGGGGCAGCTGAGCGCGAGTATTACTGTATAAGCCCAGAAGTCGATTCTTTGGTTGATTATAATGCATTCATGGAAAGTGTGGCACGGAAGATAGGGTGTGAGACCTACATGCCACTTTCCTGCGTCATCTTCTTCAATCTTCATATCCTGACAGTTGCCTTTCTGGCACTTCGTTGTTGGTCGACAACACTAATCCCATTCAGTATGTCGACCTTGCTGGTGCTGTGGGTTGGGACAGCCATCAGTCTTTGCACACTTCATGATGGACTCCTCATTAAGTGGTGGCTGTATCCCCATTGGGGCGTATGGTACCGTTACCGTGGCCCGGGGGCCAATCCCTCCGTACTCAATGCGCTTCTGACTCGGCTGAGCCTGCGGAACTCGATTGCCTTAGACCCGCTCTTTATCACCTACCTCATATGGTTTGTCTTGTCGACCTATATTCAGCGACTGCTTTTGATATTCCTGTTCGTACCCAGTGCGCTACTATCTGCAATGGGTGTGCGTTTCCCTGAGGCATGGGGAGGCCTGTTCCGCCCAAAGCGTTTCGTTTTGCACGGCTGCGAATGGCGTTTCTCTGATCTCTTTCTTCCATGACTCGCTTCATTCATATACCAGTATCAGCTAATGCTGACAATGAACCTCCTTATCACACTTGACATAGCTCGATGTTATCATAGGCCATGAATCTTGCTTGCATTGAGAACCTAAGCCTCCACATATTGGTCCGTGGTTGTTTGCTCCCTATTTGTTCGGGCACCAGTGGTGAATCCATCTAACAGCTATATATCCTTTGGGTAGTGCCTCGCACAAGGTGGTAAATTGCTGTACCTCAGATTAGTCTTGTTTACTGCGGCTGCCTTCTGTGAACAATGTTACTCTGTCATCAAAGGTGTAGAGCAGTGATGCAGACTTCAGCATCTATGTCCGCTTTGCCCCAGACTCTGCAACCTCGTTCTCTTTGACCACTACAAAAGCAGGGAACTAGTGGATCGTGAGGTGTGCATCTTATATATCTCTGAGCCTGATATACATTGCTCTGAAGGAGAGTTATGAGTAATCTACCAGAAGGTGAAGCCAGTAGAGCATTATATTATAGATATACTTTTTAGAATTGAATTCGTATATAAGTTGTCACTTTTCTTACTCACCAATCTATACCTCTGTGGAAGAAACAGTAGACCTAAATACTATATAATCTTAAGTGGGATAGTATGTGATTAGATTACATAAGCCTGCAACAAGTCAGTGTGGCCGAGTGGTTAAGGCGTCAGACTCGAAATCTGATGGGTTCGCCCACACAGGTTCGAATCCTGTCGCTGACGATTAAAAATCTTTTTTTTTTCTTTCACATACCTGATGTAGCTGGCTATAAGGAACCGGAAACGGAAACCCCTTACAGTTGGTATATTCACTGCAAGCTTATAACTGATGCATGTTCTGAGTCTGTTGACTCAAATTTTTTACTACATTTCCGGTCAGCCGAGTGGTCAGTAGTCCGGATGATTTCAGTCCTGAAGCGCACCAGGATAGGATCGTGACATTGGCCTTAGATGTTGCCTTGCCATGCAGGTTGTTCCTAGGCTCCTAGAGAGGCAATTCGGGTACATACCAAAAAGGGAATCACTAGTATAATAATCAGATATACTCAAAATTAAGAATGAACAAAGGCAAAAAATTTTGTATCAATCGTCAGCGAGGTGCGGGCGAACCCATCAGATTTCGAGTCTGACGCCTTAACCACTCGGCCACACTGACTTATTGCATGAAAATTTCTGTTATTTTAAGGATTGGTACCCTATTATCTGCAAGGCAAGAACCTTCACAATCAGAAGCCCAGGAATATCAATGATATAAACCTTACCAGAGATGTTTGTACACACACAAGAGAAATTTTGGGAATTCTGAAAAGGAAGGACCATTTTGTACAGCAGGTTATACAGAAAGTAAATAAGAACTACGTACGGCAGCAGGAGAATCAGACTATTTTATATATTACTAGTTCAGTGATTGATTAAGTTATATAGTATCCCGTCAAGTTCTTTCTTCAGGTTCCCTTCAGCTTTCAGTATCATCAACGTCCTCTCGAACCGGTTTCCTTTCCCCGTAGGCGCATTAGCGTCTTCTTACTGACATTGTCAGTAAATTCTTGTTCTTTCTGAATATGTCTCTACTAACCATTGCCGTCCTCAGTGCTCGGAGCGAAGCGGGCAGCGTAATGCGGAGGGGATGTTGCCATGAATGACATGATAGGGTGGGGTAAAGCACGTAGTCCAAGGCAAACAACACCGGCCTCAGGCCCCTTAGTACATGCAATGAGCTACTACTACACTGAGGTACTTCCAGCTCGTTGCCTTTTGTGATTATCTTATTCGTCTAGGTGGCTAGGTACTTGACAGGAACATTCAGCGGCACATAGAAACGTCACAGGCTGCGGATAGATAACCACACACCTGTGATCCAGTGCCAGATAGTAAGTAGGAAACCAGAATCAGAGAGACCTTATTCTCTTATGTCCTTGACCGTCAGATTTTCCAGCAAGCTCCGCACAATTCAGACTGCATTTCCCCCGAATCAATCCTCGAAAGCCATCAATGTAAAAACGCCTGGTCCAGAAATAAAGAAAAGTAGAGGACGGAGCTTGCTTAAAAACCCGTACATGAAAATCCGTCAATATGCCTCTTTCTGAGCACCTTTCCAATATGCGCGTATCTTATCGGGAAGAGTTATTGGTATATGTGTCTTCATTTGCCTGGTATAGCGCCCGATTTCGTCTATCGTAGTCCCAGGTCCGTCATCTCCACGCTGTCCGCTGAGCCCATCCAGAGGATGTTGTTACACCTATCAGCGTATTGCGTTAGTATATATTATCGCAGATGTGCACAATTGCATCCCAGAAGAGGGGTAACGGATGGCCAGCTCCCAGCACTAGTATCAGAGGCCCCAGCCTCAAATTAGCACCCGACCGAATAAACGCACCTAATCAGCACCAGACCCAATGTTCCCGTGTTCTTTCCATCAAGAAACTCTTCCGTATCACGGAGCAGCACGTTCATGTACGAATCGATGCTCTCAAGCTTGCCCTTGTATTCCGTTTGGCCCCACTTGAGACGGATGATGACCTCGGTACCGACTCTGCGAAACGGATTAGAGAATGTTTTCCGGTGTAATTTGCTAGTTATAAGATGTGATTGCGACGGGGCGATCAAGCGACAAGGGACCGGGTGCGTACCTAGCCTGGAGGAAAGGCCGGGGGTTGACAGGGTTGAACTAGATTCGCAGAGTTAGCTTACTCCCAATAGCAATAAGAGCGTACACCTGAAGATAAAGACGAGTTCAATGGAGTTGGGATAGGAGAGTACGAACACTCATTGTTGGTGGTCTCTGATCAATGCCAGCTGCTCAGCAGGAAATCGTAAAATATGGATATCAATGGGGATAGACGCGCCAAAGGAAACGTGTAATGGTAGAAATAGAATATGACCGTCTCCACGTCCAGGTGAGATTGAGCTGGTCGCGTGCTGTAAAAGAGCTGGGCAGTCTATCGGAGATCGCAGAGCCAACTTGACGGAGCTGATGCCGTCCGCGAAAATGTGATGCCGCCAGACGCGGGTATCGCCCAATCAGGAGCCACACAGAGACACCGCCTTCTGAGCACTGCAATATCGCTCCGCATTTCATCAGCTTTATGGTGCATCCACTAGGCCATTCATTCTCTTTCACTATCTAAAGTCAATAATTCTTTGGCTGTGAGGCTATATGGACCTGTCAGATTCTTCAAGTAGTTTGGACTAAATTAAATGAAATTCCTTGATGTCCACATAGTGTTTTACACAGAATACTTAGCATCAAAGACGTCTTAGGCTCCATTGTCGATTACACAGGCTAAACTACACTCCATTTCTCATTAAAGATAATACAAGGACCGTTGATGATTCCCCTTTCTTACGCCCTTCCGACCTGGAATTTGATCTCCTTAATCGAAACCTCATCTCCAGCCTTCTCATCGTAGTCATACCACTCTTCCTCCGACAAATCAATGCCGGTGAAAGGAGTAGAAGACTCGGCTCCCTTTGCTTCCCACTCACCCTGATATAAGCAATTAGCTACGATACGCTCTTTGTAGTCCAGCCGGGAGCACCAAAAGCACCGCAGAAAAGATGGGAATTATATAAGAGAGGCAAGAGTTACTTACATCAGCCTTGAACTCCGTAAACTCCAATCCTCTGCAGTCGATTTCAATCACCTTCTTCGCAGTGCGCTTCTCATCCGCCTCGTAGACGTTGGGGCCAGCAGTGATAGAGGCAGAGTGGGTTTTCTAGTATCAGTCAGTATTAGTTTACATATCATCTCAAATGTTTCAGTGCTCTCGGTTGCGAGAACGAGGCTAGAAGATCAAAGTCAACCCACCTGGCACAGCTTGCATTTCCAGACAAAGTTCGCCTCACCCCTACTACCGGGAATTTCGTGCTGTTCCTGCATACATAGTAAGCTTCCCGTTTGGAGGATCTATAGGATGGGGAACAAAAGGCGGACTTACGAAGCGGTTGAAGCCGACCCAGTTGGGGTGGGTTTCACGGCAAGAGGTGCATTGCACTTTGAAAGTGTAGTAGTAGGGCTCTTCCTCAGTGTCCTTGGGACGGAGATCGGTGACGCTGTTTGGGGTGAGGATATGTGAGTTGGAGTTCGTTCTAGGTGAGGTGCGGGGAAGAATCTTTGTGGAGGGGAAATGGCAAGTGACTTCTTAAAGGGTTTATAGGAAGTATGCATGGGTGGAAGGGTCAGTTAGTAGAAAAGAGACAATACATACCCGCTGAGCTCGGCAGACAGGACGAGGGAAAGCATCTTGACTGTATTTGTTGCTTGGGCGCGTGTGTGTTGATATGGAGGAAGGAAGTTCTTCAGTGCGGGGCCGTGATGTCGGTTTCGGAAGCACACATTAAAGACTCTACCGCCCTCCCGCCTGCTGCCCTTTCACTTCAGAGTCATCTTCTTGTGTTTGTCAAAACTACCAACATTGTGTGACTCATTTTTCTTGGGATACTGTGTTAATTAATTTTGTGGTGTTGTACAGCCAGAAAGTAAACTTAAGAGACATTATATAGTATGCTATTCCTAAGTTGTAGGCAGTGACATCTAAGTATCAGACCGATAGTAATGAGAATCTTGAGGCATTGACACCATTTTAATGATAACTTCTTTTCTCCACCATCACTAAACAGATAGGAACTCACACTACAATGAGCTAGGGTATTTGGCTCTAGATCAGGATAGTGGCCATCCTCTGCACCGTGTTCTCAGTTGCACTGAATCTTGACCACTGGTGTGAAGGATACACCATATTCATAAACTATCAGCTAGAGTGATTTTATGTGGCTCCGCTCACACCAGTGAAATACTTCATAGGTGCCATACTTCGCCGAGAATTCCGAGTCACTACTTTTACCGAGATTGCATTTAAAACTGACAGACCAACTTCCGGACTGAGCCCTTTCACAATCGATTCATGTTTGGGAATGCACACTGATTAAATATCATGTACCGTGTGCCACACACAGTCGGGGCACGTTCTAAGACTTGAAGTTCTGTGGGAACAGTTAAGATTCCGAGCCAAGTAGAGAAAGGGTCGTCGGAAGCTGTCAGGAGCAAATCTAGCTTATAGCATCGGCATGCCGACTGGTGACGATAGGCGGTAAATACTATAGATTCATAATTGTAAGAGTTGCTGTGGTTACAGCAGTGATTGTGACTAATAGAAGTCGCTACAAGACTTTAGTATGACCAGATATCTACTCAGTCTATGAATTAAACATCTCCTGGAGTCGACTGTGGTGTGTTATGGGTATAACCTCACATACCGTTGGCCTCGGAAGGCACCTAGGAAGTACAACGCACTTGATTAGCATCGTTATCATGAAACATACCAGCAATCTGGCTAGCTACGAGGGCTTCCATATATGAACATTACATGTCTGGTGCTTTCTACAATCGCTTTTAGCACAATTTACCTAGCTTAATCTCTCTGTTTGGTGTTAAGGTGAATCTGGACCAATAACACTGAATGAATGCCTTATAGCAACAATAGGAACATTCAATAAAGTCTATTGAGAAAGTCCTATTGTTCAAATGTTATAGAATAACCTATTATGGCTTAGTCTAGGAACTCATGTTAGGTCAAGGTGCTCTATTGTTGAGAACAATAGCATTATTCACTATGTGATTTCCTATTTGGGGAAAATACTGCCCTGTATATATGAAAACCCTCATTTCGTAGGCTTGATACTGGTATAGTTTCAGTTTTACTACATTCAATGGAGACAATAGGCTCACAATAGAACAATAGGATAGGTAATTGTGTCCTGTGTGCCTGGCCTGCTTGACTACACCCTTCAACATCTTCGGATTCTTGTCTATCCAAAAACCTTGATCATCTCTGGATATCTCGGTGCCTTCGTTGCCTGTCAGACTTCGTCTATCTAAGCCTCATCTTACTTGATCAGTTGACTGAAACGCCTCGACTTCAAGATGGAGAGCAATAACGAAAGCAGCGAGACTTGGGAAGTTCCCATCATGCTCAGCCCGGAGTAAGATATCCCCCTGTTGCTTCCATTCAGCGATGCTGACTGCAATGGAGGAACCTCAGCTACGAGGAAATTGCTAGGATTAACCCCTTCTACGACAAGATCATGGATATGTGGAACAAATCCGCTCAGGCCGCAACTGAAATGATCCTCTCCTCAGAAGGCTCCCCAAGTCTCTCCTCTCCGTCGTCACAGTCGACACATTCCGGAATCGACAAGTCTTGTGTTCATCGAGAAGCATCTGCATCTCTGCTGAGAGAATGCCAGTGTTATGCCGACCATCACGTCCCTAAGCAGCCATGCACCTTGCTCCAGAACGGAAGAGAACATAAGCCTTTGTATCAGACCCAAGACGGGCTTCGAACTGGACAAACTGCTCTTATCGAGAATGGCGATAGTTTCAGAAACGTGCTCCCCCGTTCTGTCCACCCTACCGAGCACTATCCGCATGATGAGGTAGATGCGTCCTGTGTGGAACCTGCTCTAATGCCCACAAAGACCACACACAAGAAGCTCTTCGGTGAGAACGGCTGGCTTGGATGCACTGCCGACATGAAGGATTTGTCGAGGGACACTCACAAGTTCAGAGGCTTGAGAGGGCTGGGGAGGAAGGTTATCAAGCAAGTGGAAGAACTCGTAAGTGACTTCTCATCTCGTTTCACAGTATAGACATACTAATGTTGGTATCTCAGGCCGAGGATGTGGCCAGGGCTCACCCAAACCCTATTATCCATGCCACACTTCGCCCAAGACTCGTTCCCGAATCGACCATTCCCATCTCGCTAGATCCTCCAACACAGGCCAAGCTATACTCAGAAATGGAGGTCATGCTCTGCGTCAGCGCCAATAAGTTCCTTCTCGGACAATACAATGAGGGCCGTCTGTCCGAAGAGTCGATTCGCAAGGTCACCAACTATTGGGGATCGAAGAACCGGCCTCAGGTCATTGAGTTCCAGTTCGACCAGGCCACCCAGCGCCGGCTGATTTTGGCAAACATCCGGACTCTGCGTTTCAGCGGCGAATGCTCATCTAACCTAGTTCTCCTTAAGTCGAACCTGAATAATTGGAAGGCACTCAGTAAGGAGATGGGCGTTCGCACGTTCTGTTTCCCCGATAGCGCTGTTCGCAAGCACATGCATGACATCCATAAACTGCTGGATATGCTGGACGCGCCTCTTACTACCTATCTCACGTTCGAAGAGCTCCAGATGAGCATACTTTCCTTGATGAAGTCCCATCTCGAGAAGCTTTGCCAAGTTGATGGTAGCCATGAGAAGTCGCTTCTCCCCAGTCGAAAGTACGATGGACATCATTTTTAAGGCGCATTGAGCGACTTGGTGTCTCTCATTCTCTTCTTCGTTTTACTTCGGTTTTCTTCTATTCCCCTTGTCTGTCTCACCTTCCAGCTCAGCACAGCAAGCAACGGTACATGCTAGAAGCGGTGACGAGTAATTAGTGTCTTAGCACGCCTTCAATGAGCCTTGTATCTATTATCTAGATAAAATACCAATCCAGGACATGACACATTTGAAAAAGAATTTATCTAACTCTAAGGCCATCATAGACGGTTAATGAGCGTATTAAGATACTCAACTCCACATCTGAGAGTCTGACAGCTTGGCTTGGCGGGCGCTTTCCTGCAGACACAACTCACCGTGCAGCCAGTGGACCAATCGCCACGTATGCATCACCATATAGCCCTGAAGCCCCTAAAATACAAGAATAGGGCGCAAGGTGACCTGAGACCAGCTAAAGTGCCTAAGGTTCTCACCAATCATTTGAACCCACTTACGAGTGTCCAGGCACCCATTTGACACAACAGAAGATCACACTCCACCATCATGCCAGATCATCCGCGCAACGGCTCATAATATTCCGAGAAGGTCCGCCAAAGTTCTTGAGGATGATCAACTATAACAGGGACCCGGTATGAGTAGTCTGCTTGGTGCGATTGACAACAACCCGCACAGCTCAACCATCGTGTCTGGTGCAAACATCGAATATGTTTCAGGCTTAATATGTCGGGCCCTGTTTACGGGAATGTAGAGGGCGCTGTGTATTTGTTGGCAGCCCCTAATTAGCTACGTGTCGAGTGGTCTTCCTTGCATAGCTTAGCATGCTCCTAATAGTATCCCTCCAGCATCCGTATGGCTTAATCTTGCGGTCTACTCCATAGTAGGAGAGAGATAAGATAGTAATAGTTAACCAAGATCCACTCTGACAGTTAGCCGTGATAACTCCGTAAGCTTCGTCTCTGGGTCCGCTTGGTGCGACACACTCACCGGTTTTACTTGAGCAAATCGAGCGACCTGCAGAACCAGTAATATTCCCATAGAAGCAAAGAGGGATGATCCTTCGTGGCTGGTGCTGTGTGAGTAATGGTTTGAAATACTCGTAAGTTGTTTGGGGCTACCAATCGAGATCGGCGATCGCCTGGCCGGCTTTCACGTGGGCCGACGTCATGGGGTTCTCTGCAGATTCACCTGGATTCATCTTTTCTGCTGCTGCCACCTTTTCTGCCTCCGATCCATCTCCAGCTGCCTGGCTGGCTTCTGGAGTATCGCAGGCCTTTTTACTGCATCTCTTTTGATTATGAATCTTATCCTCAAAGCTGGTATCGGGCTTTTTCGAAGCTCTCGCTGATACCTGGCCTCCCTTGCTGACCTACAATCCAGCGCGCGCTGAACATCTCCAAACAACAGAACAGCGCTTCTGCCTACATTTGCTCCCAACTCGGACTCACTGTCATGCTGGTTAGCCCTTGGTCACTTTGCACAGGCTTGGTTTATTTACACAGCTCTCTTTTGCGTTAGTCCTGTTCCTGCTACTCGCCGTCACGATGACGACCGGCCCTATCCATACCTACGGCCCATCTTGTTTACTCGCGGAAGACGACCCCGATCTCTCTGCCTGGCTTTCTTCCGATAAACCACCCAGCGTTCGACCGCAATTCTTTTACACGTCCACCCTTGCAATCGACGATCCGTTGGCTGCCCTTCCTCCTCCAACTAGCGGTCAAGGTTCGGGGAATGAGTGGGCTCCGCTCCAGCCTTTCTCAGTCAGGGATAATGCGGCCCTGGAAGATTCTTGGAAACAACTGCAGCAGACCATAAGGAAAGAGCTCGATGGGAAATCCAAATCTCAAAGTGGTACTTCGTCAACTAGGAATTCGGGCATCGATGTACCAGGCCGGGGATTTTCTGTGGATCCGGGGAAATTGAAACACAAGGGACTACATGACACAAGCTTGGCTGGGAGCCGGAATAGCTCTGCTGGCGCCCCTTCACGCTCCTTGGATGACCAATTACCTCCCAGCTCTCAAATACGGTCCAGAATCGAAGCTAGTAAGGCAGGCGTAAACAACAAAGGGTCTCGAGAAAGGGCACGCACACTTGGCAGTAGCTTAGATGGTGGTCCTACAGCCGGCACAGGTGTACGGCGCAAACTGGAGCCGCCTTTCAACGACAAGTTCGGATCGGTAGAAACCAAGGCTAATGAAGTACTAACAAGTGACGATGCAGGAGCTGATGGCGCAGAAAGCACCAGTCCACGAAGCTATCCTTCGCGCGATGTGAGCATCAGTGGTTCCCCTTTTGCCAGAGCTCCAGTCTCTCCCAGACACAGCCCATTAGGCCGGTCTGTGGAATCTATATCGTCGAAAGATGGGAACCAGGATTCCTTGATAGATCCACCCATTCAATCTGTACCGAAACCATCGGGATTACGGACGACTATGCGACAGGCCTCTCCCGACGAGGATGATGGTGAAACGGGAGAAGCCGACCCGGTTGAGGAGCCACGGCACAAAGTTCCCGTAGGTGCATCTCGGCTTCATCTGGTCGAATTACCGAGTCTCAAGGTAAGTTCAATTTTCTATAAAAACGGTTGACCATGATAGCAAGCGGCTAAATTCGGACAGATGAAACCGATTTACTGGAGCCCCCTACATGATATTTCGAGCGTATTTCGTGCGACGTGGTTCTACAAGAATACAATGCTACCTGTGGAGACCGAACTCGCCAATAGATTGGAAGATGGCTACAACTACCTGAAACCATGGACCGAAACATGGCAAGATGAACTCAATAGCTGCGTTGAGAATGGTGCCGATGCCGAATTGAAGATCGTACACAAGCTCTGGCCGAAAGAGAATACAACTAGACCACCTACAGCTGTGGCTGCGCCAGGTTCTGAAATCCGAAGCTCCACCGCTCGTCTGTCGAACGAAGACAAGCGCAAAAGTCCTGAAATAATGCCGTTAGACCTCAACCGAGCTGCGGGTAGTACATCCGCGCAATCCGACACTGTCAAGCCGTTCTTGAATTCTAGCGTCATCTACGCTGACGCGAGAAACGCACAGATTCTCCGGCCCAGCCTTCTTCCATCTGTGTCAAGGGGACGCAAGCCGCTCAGTGCGATCCGTAAAGGGAGACAGATTGGTATTCCTGTGATTCGTGGCTTCAGTAGACGATTATGGGACCGACTACACCCAAGCAAACCCAGCCCAGTAGACGTGAGGAACTACCTGCGCAGCACCCAATCTCGAGCAATGTCGACGACATCCATCGAGCCTATTTGCTATGCATGTGCGATAGAGGAATTGCGGCCTGCTCCCACAGACTTGGTGCTAGTCATACACGGTATTGGCCAGAAACTATCGGAACGGATGGAGAGTTTCCATTTTACCCATGCTATCAATGCCTTTCGAAGGCAGATCAACGTGGAATTAAACAGCGAGCCCGTCTGGCCGCATGTGCGCCCAGGCCATGGAGGCATTATGGCCCTTCCTGTCAATTGGCGCTCTACCTTGTCATTAGATGAAGCTAACCTGGAGTCTCCAGCTGGGGAAGATCCTGCTGCGAACCACTATTCCCTAGACGATATCACGCCGCAGACGATACCGGCTGTCAGGTCATTGATCAGCGATGTCATGCTGGACATCCCGTACTATCTGTCTCACCATAAGCCTAAGATGATACGTGCAGTAGTCAAAGAAGCTAACCGCATCTTTCGGCTTTGGTGTGAGAACAACCCAGGGTTCCAGCAGAACGGGCGAGTACATCTGCTTGCACATTCCCTGGGGAGCGCCATGGCCTTGGACATTCTCACTCATCAGCCAACGAAGATCCCAACCTTCAACTTTTCAAAAACCGAAGTTCACGGAGACATTTTTGAATTTGATACGAAGAACCTATTTATATGTGGCAGTCCGGCCGGATTCTTCCTCCTTCTCAATAAAGGTAAATCTGCCCTCTCATCCATAATCTGTGTCCTCATCGGATTAACCAATCATACAGCGAACCTACTACCTCGACGAGGTCGAGACAAACCCGGCTGTGAAGGCGACGACCGGCTCCGAGGCGTGGCAGGTGAAGCAGACACATACGGCTGTCTAGCTGTCGACAACCTATACAACATCATGCACACCACCGATCGTAAGCATCTTACACCCCTCACCTCAAACCACATACTAACACACAACCAGCAATCGCCTACCACGTCAACGCCGCCGTTGACAGCGGCCTCGCCAGATCCCTCCGACCCGCCTCCATCCCAACCTCCGCCGCATCCTTCTGGCAATCCGTAGGCAGCGTATTCCGCTGGAGCACTCCCCCAGCTCTACTCCCCTCAAGCACCACCGTCCCCACCCGTCCAGCAACCCTCAACAAACTCCCCACCAACGTCGAATTAGAAACCCACGACTTCACCCATGAAGAAATCGCCGAAAAGCGCATGTTCCTCCTCAATGACAACGGCCAGATCGACTACTTCCTCTCTGGCGGCGGCGGGCCCCTCAACATTCAATACCTGAACATGCTCAGCGCGCATAGCAGCTACTGGACCCTGACTGACTTCGTACGCTTTATCGTTATTGAAGTCGCTCGCAAACAGGGCAGAGAGTATACTCTGCCTGTGCTGCGGGCGGCGAAGAAGAAGGGGTGGAAGATACATAAAGGCTGATGCGGTGGTCTGAACTATTCTCGCATGAATCGCGCGTTGTCATTCTATCTATTCATATTTGTCTAAGCCTACTGATTTATGTTTGGTTAGCGTGTGAAACACGTCCCGGGAATCTTGTGGTACAGAACTTGATCTAATACTGGTTTTTCTTGGTGGTAGCGATACCCTTGTTTTGGAGTCCAGAGTGCGATATGGTACAATAACTTCAGCTCTTGTTTTGCTATGTTCTGGTATAGAATTTTGTATTTTTGCATATTTGGGGCAAATAATGAATATCTACACTACAAGGTCATAATTCAGAAGAAGTAATGCCTACATAATATCATGAAGAAGTAATGCAATTTTGATTATAGCTATGCTATATATCCTAAATGAGCAAAAGCTTGTAGTTAATTCCTCCTTATTTCTCCGGCACCACAGCCCCCATCATCAACGCCTCAACCAACGACCCCTTCTCCACCTTGCCCATTCCCGGCTTCAGCACCAACAACGCATTAGCACTCGCCAAACTACCCACTCTGGAGCTACGCTGTCCCACTCCCTCCAATCCCGTACTCATAGCATAGAGCCGACCATCCTCGCGCGACGCCGTAACAATCGCCCGATGATACTCGGTGCGTTTCTTATCCACGGGGAACGGATGCGCCAACGCCACAGACACAAGCGGAAGGCCTAGGGGCGGGGAGATCCCAGCGGGGGTGATCTTGCGCTGTTCCATGCCCATGAGTTTGTGGAGGGAGGGCAGGACGAAGAGGTTGAGGGTGACGAGCGCGGAGGCAGGGTTACCGGGGAGGGAGAAGATGAGTTTAGTTTCGCGTTCTTGTTGCTGGCCTGAGGACGATGATGGTGTGGAGGAGGGCTTGAATGGGATCGTGGCGAAGGTGGTAGGTTTGCCTGGTTTCATTGAGACACGGCCGAAGTGGATGGTTCCGCCGAGGGAACGCTCGATCGTGGGTTTGAGGAGGTCGAGTTCGCCCATTGAGACACCGCCCGTGGTGATGATTACGTCGACGCTGGATTGGGCTTTGCCGACGCCTCTGAGGGCGTCGCGGAGGCTTTGCTCGAGTTCTCCGACTGGAGTGTCGCGGGCGATGCCGAGGTCGACGGTGGGGAAACCCCAGGAGGTGAGGCAGGAGAGGAGGGAAGGGCGGTTTGAGTCACGGATTTGGCCGCCTTGGAGCTTGCGAGGGTCGTTGTGTTCGACGAGTTCGTCGCCGGTGCTGAGGACTCCGATGCAGGGTTTCTTGTAGACTTTCACGGTCTGGGTTCCTGTTGCCGCCAGAAGGCCGATCTCGCCGCCTACTGAGGTGATCAGGTCGCCTTTGCGGAGGATGCAGGACCCCAGAGCTACGTCGCTGCCTGGTTCGCGGACGTTTTCTTGGGGTTTGATGTCGCCGGTTAGGATCTCGACGGTTGCTTCTTCTTGGCCGTCGGGGGTCGAGGAGGCGAGGACCGTGTCTTCGACCATTACTACGGCGTTGGCGTTGGGGGGAAGCGGTGCGCCGGTGGTGATTCGGGCGATGGTGCCGGGTTCGAGGGGGGATAGAATGCCTCCTTCGTTGGCGTGGGTTATGGATGCAACGGGGAAGATGCCCTTAGTGCTGGGGCCGGCATCGGGGGATTCGGGGGCGATGACGGCGTAGCCGTCGACGATACTGGCACGGTATGCGGGCACGGCTTCCCGGGCGTAGACATCTTCGGCAATGACAGATCCGACGAGCGCTGTTGTCACCGGGGCTTCAATGATTGTCGGTTCGGGCGTGTGTTGGCTGATCAGTTGGAGCGCTTCGTCAACCGAGAGCATTGGGTACGGAGACTCGCGGTATCGACGGTTTGGGCCGGCGTTGGGGTCATTTGATTGGGGACGTTCTGACGGGGAAGTATGTGCGCGGGGAACGGCATGTCCATGACT